GCTTTACTGAGGCTTCGAATGTTATAGCTCTGATCAAACAGCTTTTAAGCAGCACGCGTATGACGCTCTCTGAAATCTTAGCAGAAAGAGCATGCTTAATTATTATTGCACCTCAATAGTCGTGAAATGTAGACACCAAAGGCCGGAGCACCTGGGATATTGCTCGACATAAAGGTACGGTTGACTAATCGAAAGTTGAAGACATCCCTCTTGTCAACACGGTCTTGTGGTTTTTGTCACTCGAAATCTTTATGTACATCTAAATATGAAACAGATGAGGCGGTCCCACTGGTTGTCGTTAATCTATAGTTCTAAGATGTTTCTCTGAAAGGTCAAAGGTGCCGATTGTACTTTATCCTGCGATATAGTATACTTTTTGAGTTCACCACGTTGTTCAAATTAGTCCTGTGAACTAACGTATCCTAGGTAACATCGTTCGTTCATTACTTTCAAGCAAGGTGGCGTATCCACATCAATTATTGATTGGTGAACTTTAAAGTTGTCGAATAATTGAATGCTATTACAGGGGAAGAAATATGGCAAGATAATGTCAACAATCTCTTAGACCTCGGGGTTTTCCCATACATATGCACACCACTGTTTCCTGCCACCGCAGCCTAAAAGTAACTGTTATCCAAGGCGGGCTTTGGTGCCCTGGGAATTATAATATGGCTCTCTATGGACACAGGCATGAGCAATCCTTGAAGAGTTTCATGAGCACATGTACATGTTTTGCTCTGTGAAGGGCATTTAGCAACATACTGTAGTCAAACAAAACGACCGCTGTCGCTCTTCTTCCTTCATTTTCATCGCACAGTGACGCAATATCACACTCCAGGCCGTCGATTGACGTCGATTGCGGTATCATGTAGTGCAACCGACTCGGTAAGCACAGTATTTCATGGCTTGCAGCTGCTTCAGTCAGGAAGGAAACAAAAGGTTTTTTTATGACAGAAAACACATCACCTCACCATAACTGAACGTCGGCTGTGTGTACATGTGTTAACGCGGTTCCACAGTGCATGTTCACTGTTTCAAGTCACGTGATTAAATAGGAGCAACTTATTACAAAAAATAAATATAAATCCTTTGTATTGCTGCATTGATTTTGGATAATCTCACACTGAACGGTACAACACCCTATACCATTAAAGTAAGTGCCAGTAAGCAATGATTATATTAGAAGGTGTGCAAGCTCCGTGTAATTAAAAATCATCGCACATCATGTTGAAAAAGCAACGTGTCATATTAAGTAATTCCTCTGAACCATAAACTTTCTGGAATGACTTGACCAGGTCTTTGAAGGTGAAACCATGATTTCAAAGCTGTAAGCAAAATTTGTACATGCTCTTAAGTACCTAAGCAAATGGGAATGTAGACGCCATAAGCTGGAGCTAATGGTATATTAGTCGACGTGAAAGGGATATTCACGATGTGAAAATCGAAGTCACTCATCTTGTCACTCATACAGCTTGTTACAAGGGTTCCAATCATTTTATATTTCTATGCATAGCTCCGTCACTGCATATGGTTTCTCCGTTGTTTCTATGATTTCCATCTCTGGTGGATAGATAAGGTGAAATACTCATTTGAATTGGTATTGTTGAAATAAATGAGGTTTTCTAAATATATGAAACTGAGGTTGATGTTTTGGATATGTGCCCTAGATTTCAATTAACTAAATTTGGAAACCAAAACGATTCTCGTGCAAAGAGTATCAGATCATCTTTGAGAGGGGTACACACAGGTGTGTTATACCATCGTTACTTTGCTCCTCATTACAAATACTCAATGTATCAGTGTTATATAATGTCTGTCTGACTGTTTTAAAAAATCACGGACGTGATAGTGAAAACATGAACCAGGATGTATGGTGTAGACCGCGTCAGGAAAGATATGTTTTCTGGCGACGGAATAATCAAAGAATTCCGTTACCTACGTTTGAAGTTGTGTAAAACCATACACAGGCACATGCAAGGATGTATATTCAATCTGATATCTTCTGCGAACTTTAACGATATAATATTTTTTCGTCATTTACAGTATTGGATCCTTTGTAATTAGTAAACGGTTTTCTTTGAAGTCTCCATAGACGTATGTCTTGGTATATACTTATCCGAATCAGGCCCATTCAGATCAAATATCCAATTACTTTAGGAAAAGAATTGGCTAACGAAAGTCTACAATTGCTTCCAGTCAACATTTCATTACACTTATCTGGGAGATGCAATTTTGTTCGAAAACTTGTGCAGTTACCGTTTTCTTGCTCAACATTACGGTGATCTCATAAGTGTTAGAGCGTGGTTTTCAAGGTTACATTGTCTTCTAAAGTGAATGCTATGGACGTGCGTATGCAAGAACGATATGATTTCAAGGAGAATGTGATGAATTTGAAAATATTTAGCATAGCCATTTCCTTGTGTCTTGCACTTTTTTCACAATAACACAAAGTGATATGATTCTGGTAATTTGAGATGTAACCCATGTTTCTTATGAAACAGGATGAAACTACATGTTGTTGAACACATTCGTATCTTCGTGCCGCGCTGTTTGAATAAAACTTTCTGAAAAATCGGTTTATAGTTATATCCCCATAAATATACTGGCATGGTAAAAGCAGAATCAAAATACGACAATATAGGATGTTGAAATCTAATCTATTAAATGCTCAGAAAGTAATTGACAAGTTCAATGAATCAAGGCTGTCATGTAATAAACATTATAACTAAAAGTCCATTCTATAACGTTATAAACCCTGGACCATTTCGCCTATTTAGCTTTGGTACGTGTTTTTGTATGATCTACCATCTCCATTTCTCACACATGCTAACGATAAAGTCGCAATCGTGCAATGGACACTGCTTTTAGCAGTCTCTGGTATTTCGTATGATTATGGAAATGGTTTTGTCGTTTAGTCAATATCAATACCTTGGCCAAGTAATTTTTTCGTTCATGAGATTGAAATCAACAACCAATTAAAGTACTAAAAATATTCGTAAGAGCAAGTGGTCGATATAATAATCGAATCAGAAGACTGACAGACAATTAAGTGTGATTCGACGGCTACTTTTAGCGACATGCCATCAAACCGGACTCAATATAAATCTATAGTGACGAATGGGACAAGGGTATAAATAATTGAATAAACTACACGCTGGATAATCTTGAATGAAGTCAGTGAAGTGACAGGTTATTTTCGTCAACGGCATGGCAGCACATGTTTCAATGTTATTGTTTTTTTTCAGGTGAACACTTGACTTGTCTCTGCATGTGTTTGTGACAGTTACTACTGGTAGGGCAGGATAAGCTCACCTTTTCGCGAACACCTGATTTCTTTACTAGTTGATAGTGATTTATAAACACATGTTTATGATGTAGTCAGAATCGAATAATGGACTACTTTTAGCAGAGTTTTCTTATGAGTATGGAAAGGATGTCGCTTTTATCAATTATTGTTAATAGTACAGACGATAATTTTGACAATACTGAGAGTGGTATTTGTCTTCATAACTCTTGTAACAAGCGTAGGTTAAGACTTGAAATGTCAGTGTTCATAAGGTGTCTTAAATAATAAGTAGAGGTTCGTTTGAGTGTTGCTTTATGCTACAGTCAGCAATGACTCGTATCAGCTCCATATATATCACGGTGGCCAATAGTTGAATGTATGAGTAACGACGCAACCAGTGAGGGTACAATAACACCCACGGAATCATCCGATCCCCATTTTAATCGGCTCTTATGACAAGCATGTGGTATTCGGGACGCATTCTGACATGGACTCCCAACTGTGAGTGTGTATGGTTTAACGCCGCTTTTAGAAATTTAAGAGTATCACGACGGGGAGACCAGAATGGGGCGCTACACGTTGTACCCATGTTGGGAATCGAATCCAGGCTTTTGGGGTGACGAGCGAACGCCTTAACCAGAAGGCTATCAAGCCCCCCGGGATTTCCAACAGAGGGTAAAGATATTTTTTTATAACACTTCATGTATGTCATAATCTTGAACTCAGATGTTAATTAAGATAAACTCGATTGGTAGGAATACATCACGACACCGAGGACGGTTGTAATTTATATATTTTTATCATCTTAAATGAGTGATGTAGAGGTGTCAGAATCCCAAAATAATGCATCATGAATAGGATTGTTAGGCTTTGTATCACATATCCATTAACAATGTGTAAAGAAGCACTGAATTCAAAATACCGTTACAAAATATAGAGTATGTTATCATATTTTCTTTGAATGTTCCATGAATAATACAACACGAGCAACTCAGTTCACAAAGATGACTTCAACGGTACGTTAAAACAAAGCCATTCATCGGAGACACGTAGTGGCTGCAAAGTAATAGATCTGTCACACACTGTACAACGAAATCGTACACATGTGGTAAACACATAACATCATCAGCATAAACGGGTCCAATACGCTTGAATGATATCACTGCTTCATGGATCAGTTTCATAAAACGATCTTAGCGCTATGACCGCCGTTATTCTATACATTAACATTCGGGCATATGTAAGTTACGACAGTCGCAGCACTACGATCGTTTTGTGGTACGGGTCCATTGTTTGTACAAAAATATCAGTTGACAGTGATAAGAACTCAGACTGTTTTGTTAACTTGTCCAATAGATTAGATTTAGTCTATCATTGCATCGCCATTCAATATGCATCCTTGATGAGGCCCATCTCACACAGCTTGTGACGAAGATCCAGTTTCTGTACTTTTCTGCTGCTGATTGTTACGGAAGTATCAGATGACCTTTAATGGGTCTCTCGTGAAGGCTGCATCAGCTGATCAATAGAATCGTCCACGATAACTTTGACAGTTCACTGGGTCACTTGAGAGAGACAGCATGGGACTGACATTGAGCTCAAAGCGTGTAGCTTCATCCAATATATCACCTTTACTGATCAGGTTTACAATTATTCGTTCACGTTAAATGGGTGGTTTAGATAAGCACTTCTCGCTTGATCATTCAATAGTCCATCAGAGCATTGACATGGATCCAGTATCTTTGGCTTCATGAAGCGTATCACTACTACTGATGTTGTTACAAAACTCGCCGTTTACGTTCGACTGGTATCGCTTGAAAGCCAGTTTAACTTGACCATTTGAATAGTCCACCGTCATGTGCCGTGTGCTTGAATAATAATGGCTAAACAGGGAGCGATGGCGGTCAGATGAAGAAGCGCAAATTAGCATAAGTCGGATTCGAGCCCTTATCCTCTTGCTGAAGAGGCAATACACGAGAGGATTCATACAGCTGTTTGATGTGCCCAGCCACTGAGCAAGAGGGATCACGAAGTCCTGGATTGTCTTCATCTCATCGCTGAGGTCATGTGGTGGAAAGAAGTAGAGTCTTAGAGTAACAGCGTACAAAGGAAGCCAGGACAAGGCAAAGAGAAACACAACCACAGCTAACATTTTCACAACCTTGATCTTTGATTTCTGGATGACCCCCCGTTCTGTTGTTATACCTGGCGCGTCTCTGTTCCACACTTTAATGCCAATGAAGGAGTAACAAACAACAATGAAGCTGAGAGGAATAGCATAGCAGAAAAGAAAGATAGCGCCGAGGAAGAACTCTCTGTATTGTCCAGGTCTCGGCCAGCGCTGGATACAGACATATAGTAGCTGCAGGTTTGTTTGGTAGTCTACTTGGGTATAGTAAACAGCCCACGGCACCATGATGGATAAGGCCAGGATCCACACCACCGTCAATATCATGCGTGCGATACGCATTGTCATTTTGAATTTGAACACATAACAAATGGCAAGGTATCTGAAATAGAGAGAACCAATATTACCAAATGAACTTTAAAAAGCCATGTATTACAACAACGCAAACTCTGTCATATCTGCTTGAAATATGTGTGTATCTGATACATTAACATGTTTCAGGCGGAAGTAAATACATATTAATAATGAAGGAACTCATATTTGATGATGTCCCGCTCACAGGTTGAAATAAGGTATGTTAGAAAAATGGCGTAACCAAATCATGCCAGGACCGAAATTCCCAGTTTCCAAAGATAAATCGGTCGCTCCCATCATATCAAATAGACTAATCCTTGATCATGTGTGTGAATACGTCATACGTTTACTAGTGATGGTGATGACGAAACTAAATCATATCTCATATCATGCTTGATAATTATCATAGCGACATTATCGGTTGACGAAATTATACATTATGTTATTCTTTTAGCAGGATGTTACCTACAGCTATTAATAAGTATCTTGTTTGATGTCTCAATGGTTGACAGTTTTCGGTAATAATTGTCTTGATAATAATTTATGGCTTGCTCTAGCAATTACCCCTAAGCCATCACGTATAGAATGAATGTTTGATGTCTTGGAATTAATCAACAACTTCATATTACTCATAACTCAAGGGCGTCTCAACGTTGGTGAATATACATTGATATTTTGTAGTATGCAAATAAATAATTAACGAGGTGTACTACAGACTGTCTAAAAATAGGCAAACGCTGGAACCATTGCGAACTGAGTATTTTAAAATTTATACTTTACATACCTGTCTAAGGCAATTGCTGCCAAAGTATTGACCGACGCACACACGGAAATTCCTTGAAGGTATGGGACTGCCTTGCACATAAACGCTCCAAACCTCCATCCTGTGAACAATCAATAAATTGATATAAGTATTAATGAGGTAATCACACTCTATCAGTCCAATTATCGATGTCATAACTATGCGGATTTAAAAGTAGCTATCTAAAGCGGGGAACATACAATTCATAATGTTTGATATCCTCTGTCCACTTTGCTACTAGAAAAGATTTCCTTTTAAATTAAATATTTACAAACTTCATATGGGAATAGATAGATAATGTGCTTCCACAGGCTCCTTAAAACTTCGAAAGACATTGTGACGTGAATAGCACATTCCTGGCTAAGACCTTCTTTTGCTAACAAGTACTGTGACTTGAATACCCATTCCAAAATAACCTAATACATAATCTCCTTGCTGTAGAATGGAATTTTAAGAATATGTACATGATTCTGAGCGTTTTGAAAACAATAACTAAGACGTATGACTTACAAAAACTACGTGTAACTTTCACTTTGTTGCAAAAATATGTCATGGAGGGACAGTAAAACATTTGACAGATTTTCGAAAGCACATGTACCTGTGGGTCAGGAAACAAGGAATTGTGTTATCATATCTGACGTGTCGGTGAAAAATATTAAACAAAAATATACCTCTCAGTTGATTTTATCATTATATTTGATTTTCAATTGAAAAAATCTGAATTTCTAAAAGCATATCACATCCAAAATAGAGCTGTGCCCGGCGCTTTGTCAGCATTCAGAAATACTTCTATATAGTTTGATTTTTTTAATATAGTTTGATTTAAAGCTTTTCAAAGCTCAAAATAATGTTTCTCATAATCCACAACTCTTAGCCATCTTATCTTTGAAAATCAATACATTTGCTTTTTACATTTCAAATATGGTAGGGGTCATATGGTTGCAAATTCATTTTCCCGATTCTTCTCTGAACCAATTTATTTTTACATAACATTACCCAGCCACTGATTACCTTTGTACTTACCGTTGCGGGAATGATTAATGGTTACATAGACATCAACAAATTTTACAAGAGTTCTTTCAAATTTCAATTACATAAAAACAGACTCAGGATACTTACTTTCGCCCCTCAGTTTAGCATATTCGTCAGACACAACCTACATGTTAGTTCAAGAACCTGCACGAATTTGACGCCTTAGTGGAATCGATATAGATACCATCCCTGATACCATTGCTTGCGTGACTACCTATACTTGACTAAGAATATAATAAGGAAACAATTGTGACCGTAGACAGGAATGCTTGTCACGGAGCTGTGCTCCAGAAACCAGAACCAGAAGAATAAAGTAATAATGAAAACGTGGTAACAGATTCACATGTTTCTTACTGATAGCTAATTCTATCAATAGACGACACTATATAGAACCAAAATCTAAACTAACACTGCCATGGAGCAAAGATGAATTAAATCAGAGAAAATAAACAAGTTGATTTAGCTGAGCAACTGTCTAACAGTAATAAAGTGAGGATGGATAAAGCAACACTCTGACAAGCTATTGACAAGATTCATGGACAGCCAATAAAATCGGCTGCAACCAACTAACACTCTAATGAGAGAAGGGGGCACGGGTGGCCCAGTCGTCTAAGGCGCCGCGATTCGCTGTGCAGAGTTGCGTCCCTTGGGCACGCCAGAAACCTATGATTGTGGGTTCGAATCCCGGTTCGCCCCAATTATGTTTCTAGGTTTGTCAGCACCATACCCGTGCTCGTGGGTTTCACCGAAGTGGTAAACGTCTGAGACCTGCATCACTTCGGGCTTTCCTCCCACATTAAGCTGACACGCCGTGATATAACTGGAATACTGTTAAAAGCGGCGTTAAACCCAACTCACTCACTCACTCACTAATGAGAGAAAACCTTGGCTGGGTTAAATAGCGGGAAATAAACACAGAGGGCCTATCTCCAACGTAAGTCCTTTGGACTATTAAATAGATGGAAATCGCCTTAATATCAAACTAGTCTTATGGACATACAACTCACCCATTTAGACTTGTAAGGAAATTACAAATTTCCCAAAGATATATGACACTTGACCTAAGGAGTATCTTGTCTCCCAATCAGTAAAAATGCGTATTTGACCAAAAGAGTAACTTGACTTACAATTATAGTAAATAGGTATTTGACCTAAACTTGACAAACATTTAATAACCAAATCCAAGTTTCGAAGGACTCTCCTGTGGCATGACGACCCGCAAACGGTCTTACGAAACCTGTAGGTGAAGACACAAAACTTTGACAAGGATTTTATACGCACTTGTGGATCGGAGAGGACAACCTATCCTGGTCAGCCGGGATATGAAATAGCCTGGCGAGCTTAACAAAGTGTGTTTCATTACATCGGGATAACCCCACTAGCAAACTAACTACTAAACCAACACGGAAAATGCAAGTACCAAAATAAAGCGTTGACCATTAGCTATCCAACTTTATCACTTAACATTTACAACCAGGTGTAAGGTGGCAAAAATGACCATACTTAAATGAGAAATATGTACAATTACTAGCTAATCCTGTTTGAAAATCATAGTCACAAAAACACACTACCAACACATGAATAAGTAAGCAAACATATATGAAATAACATATATCAAATCAGTACAAGATAAAAGTGTGCCATTAAATCTCTAGAGAATGGAATATATGGGTCACTAACTCTCTGACAATGACTGTAAAAAAACTGGACAACGACGAATGCCAGACTTTGATGACGGAAGCCGGACAATTCAAGGAGAGGGGAGCTGTGCGGTCACTGGACCGTAACTAGGTTGGTTTTTCGACCCGGTGACAAAGCTGAATGTTTACCTATCCATCTCTTTATTATTAAACTATGTATTTAAGTATAATAATTAATGTTCAGCGCCTTTCAAATCGTATTTATCACATTTGTTTTTAGGTTTATGGTAAATATTTAATAGTCCTCATCAAATAATATCATAACTGAATTGTGTACGTAACGTTTAAATGATACATAGAAATAAAAATCTACAAAATATTTTGATGTATCACAGACTAGTTATATACGACGGTGATATATAAAAGTACTGAGTGCATGTTGATTAAAAGGTTGAGTGAATTTACTAGCATATCATATGTTAGAAGTTCAACTGGTTATGGATAAAGTTATTGAACAAGTGATATCCGCGCTCTACTTATGTAGTAACATAACCCATATGGCAAAAAGGATAGTCCAGCCATTTGACTTCTGTGTGATGTAATCAAGTTCCCAAACTTTCCTTTCGAGAAGACAAACGAACTTTCTGTATCAGTTTGTTTGTTTTGTTTAACGCAGCATTCAGCAACATTCCAGCTATATGGCGGCGGTCGGTAAAAAATCGAGTCTGGACCAGACAATCCAGTGATTGACATCATGAGCATCGGGATCGATGATATGTATCAACCAAGTCAGCGAGCCTGACCACCCGATCCCGTTAGTCGCCTTTTACGACAAGCATATTCGCCTTTTACGGCAAGTATGGGTTGCTGAAGACCTATCCTACCCCGGAATCTTCACGGGTCTTCTGTATCAGTAAACTATTATCCTGGAATTGGGGCAAACGCAATGTTCGAAACACTGAAGTGCGCATAATCAACACATGCATGTATCAGACTGACAGACAGGATGTTTCTGAATCAGAGGCCAAACGCATCAATAGTAATAGATACTTTTGATAGTTTAAGCTTTCGAGTTAAACTGTACATTACACTTGCTCTCGAAGCCTTACAATTTATTTTGCAACATTTACACATATACGATCGTAACACAATATCGTTATCGATGAAATCATAGAACCGCTGCGCATTTCATGATTTCCAAAATCATTAGATCCACGTCCAAATGTTTTCCATTGTATGCTTCACAGCAAGAGAAGTGTACATATTATTTTCACAATCAAGATGACGTTTAAGTTAGAAAGTACTTTACATTGTTTTACAATTTAATGGCCGCCATTCTTGTGATGCAGTCTTTCAATGGTCGTATACAGACATGAATAAAGCATTGTGATCACCTTTCTGTTTAATCCACACGGAACCAAATCCATATCTAAATTACGTACTGTAATATTAACATGTGTTGCCAAGTTGCGATTAATAACAAATAGCAACATTTTATAACGATGGTGCAGGTACTACTCAACAAGCGAAGCCAATATATAATGCATTCTCCAGATACATAATATGCATTGGATGCCTTCCAGTTTTCCCGCCCGTGTTGTTTAACGCCGCATTCAGCAAATATTCCTGCTATATGACGATGGCCTGTACGTTATCGAGTGTGTACCTGATACTGTATTGACTGATGTTGTAAACAACCTACCACACCTTCGGGGTACCATGACAAAGAGTCAACCAGGTCACCGAGCTTGACAATCCGATCTATTATGTCACCTCTTACGACCTACATAGGCTACCGTGGATCTATTCTGACCCGGAAGTTTCCCGAGGTGTCTGTGGCCTAACCTGACCCCAAGAAAAACATGTAGCCTTATGAAAATAAGTACATGGTAAAGCGAGACAAGTGGACGTGTTGTGTAGGTTGTTCTCTGCACCAGTGCTCCCTTGACGTTGCTCAGAAGCTCAATCCTACTTACGAAGGCTTGCTTCAAAACATCATGCCAGTATCAGATTAATTACAGCCCTGTGGAATCGGAAGTCACGATGCCTAATTGTCGGGGATTCTCTCAAGATGATTTTACGCCTCTAAGAATAATTTGTTCGCCTGCATTAACGTCAATTATTGCTCAAATGACCGACACTTTTGTTGTAGTATGACCTTCTTCATACGTTTCTGAACATATACGGGTCAGGCTGATTGGAAATCGATGGCAACTGCGAGATGACATTGCAAGCAGGCAATTGACGTCTGATGTGTGCCCCTTATAACATGGAGTGACGTCGACTGCTGTGTACAGATTTCATAAAGTGATGACATTACTTCCTCGTAATAAATTTCTTTACGAAACAGCTTTATGGTGGGGCAGCATACACTCAACCGTTCGCCAACACCTGGTGTCATCACTGGTTGATGGTGATTCATGAACACATGCTCATAATATAGTTGGAATCATACAATGGACTGCTTCCAGCAGAAATTTCTTTTTTACGCTTTGATTACGAAATAGTCAATTTGCACTGTCTGTATGTGTTCTGGACAAGGCCCGTATGCATAAGATGGGCACTAATCTTATTGTCCACAGTTAGCTTTTGAGCATCCACGAAGGCAAAGATAATCTTCATGATATATATTGTCATGTCTTGAGAAACATACTGTGGGACACGCCCGTCAAGCCTAAATCTTGGGCCCTTCGCCTTAGTGCTCGACTGAAGTGAAAGAAACAGCCCTTGATTTCAGCATCAGGAAAATCGGGCTCCTCGACATGGATGACTGCAAATTCTAAGTCTGTTTTTAACCCTGGCTAGGGGAAAAATTTACGACCTACATAGCTGCTGATGCACATATCTATCATGGCTAAACAATCTGCGGCAGGTAAGATTGATTGGTTGTAGCAGTTTAACGCCACACTCCTCAGGACGCCTTCCGCCTTAACAATTTTGGCTGACCTGGTCATGTGTTTGAGTAGGGCACACATTGCAAGTTTTAGTATTGATAAAATGTCTGTTTAAAAAAAATAAATATTTGATATTATTTGATTTTTGATTGTTAGAAATCGATAAAAAGGTTCCTTGGCTGCTCTAGATGTGTTTACAAAAGTTCGAATAGTTGGCGATGTATTTGGTATCTGCTATTTGAAGTGTATGCAACTGATCTTTTGTGAAGTAAGCTACGATCTTTTTGACCTCTCCAACACTGAAGGGAAGAAAGGTATGTTCTCACAGTCCATTTCCCAAGGAGATAAACATCAGTTCTGATCTGAGGCAAAACTGGAACTGTCTTGCTTTGGTAACGGTAGAAGGTACTCCTCATACTGGACTTGTCTTAAACCGACCATACCTAATATGTCAAGAGTCAAGTCAGCACTTACATGAAAATACTGAGCTGGAAGATCCAGGGTATTTTAATAATGAATTTAATTGGATTACTTATACCAACTGTGATCATTGTCTTAGTTTGTGGCCTTGGGAATGTTCACCCACTCTATCTGCAGTGATTGTGCTAACTGTCGGGGGTTATGTTGTTGTTGCTGACGTGCTCGCAGTCGTTGATCCAGTGCATCCCATGAATGTTCGATTGGGTTTAAATCTAAAAACCTGGATGGCCATCGTAGGACCTGGATGTTGTGATTCCTTACAAAGGCTGTTGTCAGTATTGCCGTGTAAGGTCGGGCGATGTCTTGTTGGAAAATGATGTTCGCTTGTTGCATCATGGGAAGGACATGTGGCCGAAGAATCTCATCGGTGTAACGTTATGCCGTTAAATTTCCCAGAATGTTCACCAAGTCTGTTCTGCCAGTGTAGGAGATGTCTTCCCACATTATCACACCACCACCACCAAATATGGCCACTTCCTGTATTCAGTTTCGTACATAGCGTTCCCTTCGTTGATTTCTGAGGGGAAGAATAAATCCCTTATACCCCGCTTCGAAGCAAAAAACCGTACGCTTTTTTCACGGTAAAGAAAGTCACGTAATGTGGCACAAGTTAACCTCGGCTCGATTTAACAACTGTTTTCTATCAATTATGAATTTGTGGAATTCTTTTATAATGTCATATGAAAACATGTCGGTAAGATAAATTCGTTTTAGTGGTATCACTCAGGGTACATGTGATTTTATGCATCCTGCGTATGGTTGTATACCACGAGCCGGAGGCGATACTGCTTCACAGAAACGGAGAAGTACCTCTGTGTTTGTATCACATTGTATTGCCGTGTCTTTTCATCGGAGTATCCCGCTTGTTAACGTCTTAGACGTTTTTCACCTTGGTTAAACCTACGGCCTTTGGTATTATGCTGACGAACCAAGAAACATAATCTAGGTGAACCGGGACTCAAACCTGCGATCATAGGTTTCCGGAACGCAACTGAGGGATGCATCCGTGCGCAGCGAAATGCTGCGCCTTCGATGACTGGGCCACCCGTGTCCTCATTGCCTCGTAAACATCGGTCGTATGACAGATTTGTTCAAATATAATTAAAGAATGGAGTATTTATCCATGAATACACAAACACGTAACACTGACGAGAACATGTACTTTGCGTCTGGCGCTCCAAATGAACAAAAATGTCAAACTTGAAGAATAACCCAGCACTGAAATGTGTTTTCAATTGGAGTTAAGATTGAAAAGCAAGGTATTTATAGAACTGTAAATGCGAAGTGGGAATTATTGTTCATTGTAGCATATCATTTGCTGAAAAAGTTGATTTATGTTCATGTAGTAATCTTGAACGAAATGGCTTCGCATTATGCCACAGCTTTCCGTGAATACGTACGTCTGACTCGAGGACCTTCATCTGAGTGACATTATTTTGAAGGCGTTTCCACGGAAAAATACAGCTTTAATACAAATATACATCTATCCTTGCATATTTTGCTTCACTGTGTGGTCTTTACAATCGCAAAGGATTCGTATCAGCAAATATTTAAATCTGAAAGATCTTTTTTTCTCGTGAAAGCGGGCATCTCATTTTCAGCTACTTGAACGAAATTTTCTTTTTAAGACCAGTGGAGGACATTACCAAATTTTTCTTTTTTAATTTAACCTTGTACTATCGTGATTGTGGAAGTAAATACGTGACTTACCTGTGCATGTATTTGTGATGGGTGCCACCGGTGAACACCTGGTGTCATCACTATAAGACATTGATTCATAAATACATATTTTTTATTAATCATGTACATATAGTCAGAATCGTTCTGTAGCAGATATCTTTTGGTATGGAAAGGGTTTTCTCGCTTTTAATACTGTCATTAAAAAAATACTGAAGAACAATGACTCTGTAGTTTGAGATCCAAATGATGCAGTTCATCTTTAAGAATTTGAATTCAGCATTGGCAGATATCGATAATGTTTAATGTTGAAACATGTCATATTGTACTTGAAAATAAAAGCGACACAACTATTTCCATATTCATAAAACATCTCTGCCAAAAGCAAAGTCAATTTCCGATTCCGACTATATCAAGAGCATGTGTTAATAAATCACTATGAAATAGTGCTGATGCCAGGTGTTCGTGAATAGGTGAGCGTATCCAGGCCCGCAGGTGGTACCCGTCATAAACACATGCAAAGGCAAATGAATTGCCTGAAAACCGACAGGAACAAACGTGTATGTACAAGTCAAAATAGGTATTGCATCGGACATACGTTTGTGTCACTGATGGGTCAAATTCGGGAATGTCCTCAACATAAAGTTATGTCACTGTTTTGGTAATCGAATTGTCCATTGTCATTCTATAAGGGCGTGTCGTGTCTGGGTCAAAACACCTTCCATATATCAGCAATCGATGCCACACTAGATAATGTTATTGCTAAATGATTGTGTTTCAAGTATTCTTGTCACAGGCGAACATATTAAGCCGAAGCGCCAGTCGGAATTCTTTGTCCTTGACTTGGAGACTAACTCTAGTTCAATTATGTTTCCGATTTACTGCTATCGGAGTGTGTTTAATTTCCTCTGTCCTGGAAAGAGAGTTTATTAATGTCGGTTGCAGCCTGTGTGATACATCAGTATTAATCTGAATCTTGCCATTGAATCAGTTACACAGTGAACTGGGAGTTCCAGAATTCATTGTTTAGTCAACAGCATGTTAGCTCAACTTTTTAAATCAATAGGATACAGATGCAAACACGATGTTGTTTTAGTTCCGGAGCAGTGAAGTAATTTAAAAATGATTCCAATAATGATAAGATGCATCTTGGTGTTTACGTATATTATTTTTCAAATACTGACGACCACTACTGGTACCATTAAACGCTGATTATTAAAAAAAACCTGTTATAACCAAGGGGTATTCTTATTCGTAGCTCTGTCACAATAAGAGAGTGAGTTATTTTACATCAAGCTTCGCATCGGCAAAATTTCAGGCATATAGCGACGAAATCAATATATATTCATTAAAGCAACGTACAGTGAAGTATTTAATTACATGTATCAAAGAAGTAATATTATTGTGTGTTTGCTGTTTAACGTCGCACTCGTCGACTAGATAATCCTGTGATTGACATCATGAGCATCGATCTACCCAATTGGGATACGATGACATGCATCAACCAAGTTAGTGACCCTGAATTCCCGATCCTGTTAGTCGCCTTTTACAACAATCATAGGTTGCTGAAGACCATAAAAGTAAAGACACCTACCTATACAGACAGATGCATAATTTCTATAATAATCCTGATAAAAACATGAAAAGATTTAAATAAACCTCCTTGGGATTGCAATGTGCACGCAGTAGATCTAAATCTTTTCCAAACAATTTGATGGAGATTCAAAACAAACTTAAACAGTGAAAAGGAAGCCAACGAGCGATAACCAAAGGCTGGAAGTCATAACGTAACACGTGATCTAAACACGTCACATTGGAGTTTACTTTCTTCATGGTACACCAGCGTTATAATTACGAGTTAGGACTTCGGTGCAATGACACTAAAAATAGTACGTTGACGTAAGTTTCATTTTGCGATGAAGCAACGCTTGGAATGACTCATGATTTCTACCTCTAAGCTTCTCGACTGCAATCGATATTTGAGATCAAACGAAGACAGGTTTATTAATCTCTACATGTGGCTGTATTCTAGATACGTTATTACTGTATGGCTTTTATTAATAAATTACGCCATACGTATTTAAATTTTACCAAATTTAATGACTTGCGAAAGATGCAGTTACTGAAACAGTAAATCTGAACATGTTTATCGAGCTCTTACACGTTTACCACTTTTTGTAAGCCCCGATCATGAGTAAGGATTTATATACCATTCGAAACCCTGACCTGAGGATCCTGGCACAGACAGAAACGGGTGCATGCTAGTCATGTAAATAATCGACAAGCAACGACACAAACTGCTGGAACATCCAGCATCAAACCAGCCAGGACACACCAATCTTCATTATTCTGTTTTTACGGTAAACATGCAATGGGGTGCTTAAGTTATTTCAGTATTCCAACGGGGACGTTGCAAGAATTTTACTTTTTCAAGTGACGGGAGAGACTAAATACGGCAATGTATTCACCAGAATTGATTCTGATAAATCCTTTGCCCAGAGCTATGGATTTATTGCCCGCTGGAGATGAGAATTCAAGTTACTTGATGGTGAACTATAGACTATCACTTATAACAGACAAGGTTGTGACCGTTGATCGTAAATCACAAAAAAAAGTTCATGGAGATTAGCGTTGTTTTACATCACTATTTGCGCAGCCGGATTTCCAAGAAAATAACCATTGGACACAAGTACACACAGTCAATGCATAATATTTAGTTTCAGCAAGGAAACCATGGCATGAGGATTTACAACAAAACTTCTTTGTTCACTGACATGAAATCACATTTGCCTCCAACTACTTTCATAACCAAGCTTAGGTACATGAAAACAAAAGATGACGTATGTTATGTCCTAAGCAAGACAAGCTAGAGAAAAGAAATGTTGAGGACACTACAGTGACAGCAGGGTACAACTACGTACAGGTCACGCCAGAGGCATCTCAACACGCCAAAGGTGAAGCCTTAAGCCCTCCTCCCGGTACTTAACATATAAACTGTGTTGAGACAACGGTCATAAAAAACACGTACGTATACCGTCCTTAATAGTACTGTGGTCTTCTAACCATGTCCTCAAGATATACCCCTCATCCGAAGATCAACGTGGCATCAATGGTAATGAGGACGATGAAAATACTCTTGTCTGCTGACAAACGGTCGACACGCCTGTGCATATATTGACGCACCCAACAGACAATGCAATGTCTGAGGTTATTGTATTACACTTAAATTGACATAAGGTACCTACAGTGCACACGAATTGAAGATGTTGTGTCCATGTTATTAGTGGTGTGAGACGATATTGCTGACATTGACACGGCGTGGTATTTGCTCACCCACCAAAACAAAATTTGGTTACAGAGTCTTGACAACATAGTATGTCAAGTGTTGTCACAATTGGTTCCTTACGAATGTCCCTAGAGACGTTTGTAACCTTTTCTAGTAACATCTCTCTTGACTGTTTAGTATGATCTGTACGGACGCACATGTCGGTACAAATTATGTTATACTAAGTACTCAAAGATTCATATTAATATTTTACTATCGATACAATAAATTATCAAGAAAGAAATAATACGATTCAGTTTATCTTACGTCTTTACAACAGGTGCAAAAACGTTTCATCTTTAATAAAACATCTCATTTTATCATGTCAGATGGCTGGTTTAGAGAAAACACATACAAACTTAAACAAGTAAGTAAACTTTAACATTCACCTTTGTCGTCACCAACTAGCAGCCCTATTCTAAAAGTTGAAATGAGATGTGTTTTATTTTTACATGTATCAAAGTCCGTGTCTTTGAAAGTTTGACCATTACACCGGTACCATGATGGTCAGCTGTATGGCTTGACATTGACAGTTAATTGACATGTTTTATGATAGAAACCAACGTAATAAAGCACCAATACACGCCACCTCGTGTCAGCCCGTGTTATACGGAATCAAAATCAAATTTAAAGCTTTCCCGAACTCCTCATCCCAAATGAGTATGGTTTGTTAGTCACGTACATGTATTATTGTATTATACCAATCAATACTCAACATCGTGCTTAAACAAGAAAAGAGCGTTATCACTATTCCCCGCCATGAGTGAGTGAGTGAGTTGGGTTTAACACCGCTTTGGATACTATTCCATATATATATCTATCCCATCAGCTTAAAAAAGAGATAAGGACTAGGGTGGCTCTACATGCATATAATGGGAAAATCTGACAAAATTAAAAACTGTTCAACCTTTCTCTGAAATAATAATTTAGAGCACCAATTTTCGACCTCTTGAGGTTTAGAATTCTTGATAAGTATAGATTCTCTAAGAAACGCTTGCGAAGTTTCCTTGAAGTAACTTCAGTACCTGTCCCCAATGCAGACACTGTGCACTGAGGATCAAGGTCGGTTATTGTGTAAGAAATATTTTAAGGCATCTGTCTTGAACTCTTGTATTGATAATTATCTCTTAGATAAGCATGGAAACTTTCATTCCTCTCACGTCAGTAGTTTCTGAGAAAACTTGTCCCCATTTCCCGAAATATGCACTAAGTTGAAAAACACGGAGCAAAGGTCATTACTCTGTAAAAAATGAATTGAAGACACAGATTTGGGTGACCTTTTTGCAACATATATATGATTTGAACATGGTATGAGTTAGCCTCATGAAGATTATAAAATACAATGGCAACTATGATATATGTGGACGGACACAGTTTGAATGAATGAGTAATATGGTTTTACGCCACTTTGAGCAATATTACGGTTTTAACCACAAAGATACCCACCTCGATTTATTAAAGAAATCTGAGCTGAAAGAAAACAACCTGTTACCAAATTGCCAATTTCGAATTTACTTTTGGAGTTTCCCTTTTCAAGATCTCCTCAAAGAATAAACATTTAATAATACAACGAGCGACATCCTCGAGAAGTAATAATATCGATACAATGCAATAATGTTCTTTGATGTTAAGGATGAATGGGAATTAATTGAATGAGAATGTGAATCCTGTATAATACACACAACAACATTAACCTTTTGCAGTGAATAGGATGTTTCCAGCAGCTATATGTCATCGTAAATATTGAGTTTTTAGTCAAAAGGCTTCCAGGTGTTCTTAAAATGTCACCCATATACTGAAACTTTAATGGAGTTTAAAGATATTGCAAATCCGACTTTGTCTGTTTGGTCAACTACATTCATCTCCCTTGAAAGTGCTTATCGCTCTTTATGACTTTTCATATTCAGGACTGCTTCCGTGGTCTAGTGGATAGAGCGTCTGCCCGGAGAGCGGAAAGTCGGTGGTTCGATCCTCGTCCGCGTCAAATCTTAAAAATTGTACTTGTAATCCCTCTTGGCCTTAAGGGAAAACGAAAACAGAAACTGGTCTGCTCGTCGTCAGTATACTGTATTTGAGTGGGGTATCCGTGATAACTGCGGCTTGGTATATCAATGGTTATAGCTGGCACTAAAAAGCTGGCATTAGGACTAGGCCAAGCACACACACACACATGCACATACACCCGTACACACACACACACACACACACACTCACTCACTCACTCACTCACTCACTCACTCACGTACATACACATCTTTGGCGCGACGTTAAACCCCATTTCACCTACAATCATGCACGTCGCTTTTCAGTTAAAATAATCTTGAACGCGACAATGTACCCCATTTCACCTAACCATCTTTATATGTTGTCATGAACTTCTGGCTTTAAAATACATGTACATTGTTTATTCATAAAACAAAAAAATATTCATTAAGAAAAAGCCTACTTGTTAAAAGTATAATGGCAAAAGCGTAAATATAAAATATAGAAAAGGGAATTAAGATCGATTGCCAATGATAAAAGCTTGGAAATATGCGATGAAATATTCATGTAAATACTACATCTCGTTCTTAGTTTGTCATATTTCATATGAATGAAGGAGATATATCAAATATTGATCACATTAGCAGGCAATAACTAATATCTGTCAGTATAATGAGCTCACAGGTCAGTCTTTCGTGCCAGCTTGCCACTAAAGAGGTGATAACACATTCCTGCTATCACGTTAGGGCTTAATTGATTTTTGTTATAATGGCGTTATATGGGGAATATCAAGTAGAATAATGCCTAGTTAGTTTACTGATGAAAAAGACATGAACATACCGTCAAGTATTCGCGTTTTATTACCAACATTCTATGTTTGTGTTTTCAGAACAAGACATAACTTTTCCAGTACTTCCGAATAGTGATACTTAAACATACAAGTTAAAATCTTTGTGCTCTGAAACAATATCGGCGTCGTGCAGGGACACATTCAGACGTATTGGTCTAGCCTTGAGTACCGTTAATGGATTGTACACGACACTTTACTTACCGTTGAATAAGTTCGTCATTAGCGTGATCGGGAGACAGAAAATCGCCACCAAGAGATCCGATATGGCCAGATTAACCAGAAACACATACGTCGCTGAGTGAAACCGTTTGTCCTGACAGATAATAGCCACCACGCAGACGTTTCCTAAGACCGCCAATATAAAAACAATCCCGTATGCTAGAGATAAAACCACCACCATATATATTGGCTGCTTCACAAGAGCATAGAACTCCCCAGATCCGTAGGAAATAGTAGTGTTATTATAGACGTCCATTTTGAAAGTTTTTACTGGAAGTGATCTGTGCAACCAGTACTTAGCAGCATGACGCCAAGGTGGAACAGTTTGACGTCCGTGCCTGTCCGCGACTCAAGCGCCACTTGCGGAAAATAATCTTTTTTCAACAGCCGGCGCTGGTTCCAACACTCCTCGAGTTAATGATTTCAAATCCGTTGAATAACGTTTTATCGGGGTACAACAGTTTTCTTAGCAAACAAAGTGTCCTCTTGAAAACTTCCATAAGGACATTTCATTGTTTAACTGGAGTATTTAAATTGAATTCCGATATCACTGTTGGTGAAAATAGCTATGTTATAATAAAGAATGGTGTGGTTCACTGTGCTAAAGTCATAATTGTCCCACAGGCAGCATAATGACACACAATGCCTAGTGGCAGAGTTGTTGGTGAGTCCCGCCTTCATGCGTGGACGGCCTGCCGCTAATCATCATGTGACTGGCAACACTCCTTTGCACACAGCAACGTTAGATCCTCACTCTACTCTTATCTGCCGTCTGGTTCATTGTCAATTAAACGTACGGCCAGAAATGTAAGCTCGTCATCAGTCGTGGAAGCTTGAAGCTGGGGCTCAATTTCTCAAAGACAACTGCCCGTGGCAGGAATGCTTTTCTTAATGATTGAATTCCTCGAGGAAAGATCATATGATAGGAGGAAATATGCAGCGTTTGAAAGTAGGTAATTGATACTCTGTTAATCATAAAAGTTACAAAGCAGCTGCATCATTACCTCCTTGACACCACCAGCAACTACGCTTTGAATACGTTGTTGAATGGGACGTTCAAACATACAGCTAGGCGGAGAATATCAATAGCAAGTCAGTAGAGAGTAACACTAGTATATTTATATATATATATATGCTATGATGTGTATGCGAATACTAATACGTTTCATGTAGGCCTGAATACCACACAAACTATAAGAAAGAACTATGATGGTGATGAGGGTGGTAAAGTATGTGACTTAGTTGGCGATGTCGGTGAGAAACATGTTGGTGAATAAGGTGGTACGAGTATGCAGGTGGAGCTGTTTTTGCATTTGATTGTGAAGATCGAAGAGGTTGATCGGATTGTCCTATTGGTAGTAGCGGCAGTGGTTATTGGTGGTGGTGTAGGTGTAGGTGGCGGAGGTGGGGCTGCTGGTGGTATAGGTGAAGGAGGTGGTGTGGGTATTGGTGTAGGTGGAGGAGGTGGTGTGGGTATTGGTGTAGGTGAAGGAGGTGGTGTGGGTATTGGTGTAGGTGGAGGAGGTGGGGCTGGTGGTGGTATAGGTGAAGGAGGTGGTGTGGGTATTGGTTTAGGTGGCGGAGGTGGGGCTGCTGGTGGTATAGGTGAAGGAGGTGGTGTGGGTAGTGGTGTAGGTGGAGGAGGTGGGGCTGGTGGTGGTATAGGTGAAGGAGGTGGTGTGGGTATTGGTGTAGGTGGCGTGGGTGGAGCTGCTGGTGGTATAGGTGAAGGAGGTGGTGTGGGTATTGGTGTAGGTGGCGTGGGTGGAGCTGCTGGTGGTATAGGTGAAGGAGGTGGTGTGGGTATTGGTTTAGGTGGCGGAGGTGGGGCTGCTGGTGGTATAGGTGAAGGAGGTGATGTGGGTATTGGTGTAGGTGGCGTGGGTGGAGCTCCTGGTGGTATAGGTGAAGGAGGTGGTGTGGGTATTGGTGTAGGTGGCGTGGGTGGAGCTGCTGGTGGTATAGGTGAAGGAGGTGGTGTGGGTATTGGTGTAGGTGGCGTGGGTGGAGCTGCTGGTGGTATAGGTGAAGGAGGTGGTGTGGGTATTGGTGTAGGTGGCGTGGGTGGAGCTGCTGGTGGTATAGGTGAAGGAGGTGGTGTGGGTATTGGTGTAGGTGGCGTGGGTGGAGCTGCTGGTGGTATAGGTGAAGGAGGTGGTGTGGGTATTGGTGTAGGTGGCGTGGGTGGAGCTGCTGGTGGTATAGGTGAAGGAGGTGGTGTGGGTAGTGGTGTAAGTGGCGTGGGTGGAGCTGCTGGTGGTATAGGTGAAGGAGGTGGTGTGGGTATTGGTGTAGGTGGCGTGGGTGGAGCTGCTGGTGGTATAGGAGAAGAAGGTGTTGTGGATAGTGGTGTAGGTAAAGGAGGTGGGGCGGGTGGTGGTGTAGGCGGAGGAGGTGGTGTGGGCGGTGGTGTAGGTAAAGGAGGTGGGGCTGCTGGTGGAGGAGGTGGTGTATGTGGTGGTGTAGGTGGAGGAGGTGGTGTGGGTAGTGGTGTAGGTAAAAGAGGTGGGGCGGATGGTGGTGTAGGTGGAGGAGGTGGTGTGTGTGGCGGTATAGGTGGAGGAGGTGGTGTATGTGGTGATGTAGGTGGAGGAGGTGGTGTGGGTGGTGGTGTAGGAGGATAATGTTGGGCGGGGAGTGGTGTGTGTGGTGGTGTAGGTGGAGGAGGTGGTGTATGTGGTGATGTAGGTGAAGGAGGTGGTGTGGGTAGTGGTGTAGGTGGCGGAGGTGGGGCTGGTGGTGGTGTAGGTGGAGGAGGTGGTGTGGGTAGTGGTGTAGGTGGCGGAGGTGGGGCGGGTGGTGGTGTAGGCGGAGGAGGTGTTGTGGGTATTGGTGTAGGAGGATAATGTGGGGCGGGGGGTGGTATGTGTGGTGGAGGAGGTGGTGTATGTGGTGATGTAGGTGGAGGAGGTGGTGTGGGTATTGGTGTAGGTGGCGGAGGTGGGGCTGCTGGTGGTATAGGTGAAGGAGGTGGTGTGGGTGATGGTGTAGGAGGATAAGGTGGGTCGGGAGGTGGTGTGAGTGGTGGAGGAGGTGGTGTATGTGGCGGTGTGATAAGTAGGTGGGCTGGTAGTGGTGTAAGTTGAGGAGGTGGTGTATGTGGCGGTGTGATAAGTAGGTGGGCTGGTAGTGGTGTAAGTTGAGGAGGTGGTGTGGGTGGCGGTGTAGGTGGAGGAGGTGGTGTGGGTGGTGGTGTAGGTGGAGGAGGTGGTGTAGGTGGCGGTGTAGGAAACGGAGTTGGGCTGGTGTTGGTTTAAGTTGAGGAGGTGGTGTGGGTAGCGGTGTAGGTGGAGGAGGTGGTGTGGGTGGTGGTGTAGGTGGAGGAGGTGGAGTAGGGGGTGTTGTCGGTAGAGGAGGCGTTTGTGTAGGTGAAGGAGGTGGGGCTGGTGGTGGTGTAGGGTATGTAGGTGAAGGGGGTGGTGGGGATGGTGATGTAGAGTATGTAGGTGGAAGACGTGTTCTTGGTTGTGGTGGAGGTGAAGAAGGTGGGACGGTTGGTGGAGAAGGTGGACGTGAGGCTGACGGTGGTGTTGAGCATGTACATGTAGGTGAGGAAGTTGAGTGGATGGTGGAGGAGGTGGGGCTAGTGGTGGTGTAGGTAGAGGAGGTGGGGGCTGGTGGTGGTGTAGAGTATGTAGGTGGAGGAGGTTGCGTGGGTGACGGTGTAGTTGAAGGAGGTTTTTGGTGTGGATGACGGTGTAGGTGAAGGATTCGGGGAGGTTGGCGTTGTAAGTGAAGGAGATGATCTGTGGTTGGTGAAGTCGGTAGAGGTGGTGGAGAGGGTGCTGGGTGGGTAGATGGAGGCAAAAACAAAATCATTGTGTTTACATGGATTTGATGGAGTTCCAGGAGAATACCAATTTATCTGTATTGTTAAATGAATAACGATACCAAAAGAAACATATCCGTAACCCAACTTCCATGAACAGAAAGTATTTTATAAATATTAACTGCCTTCCACAACACCAATGAGGATTGGTCCACAACGTTAACCGTACAGTCGGTTTTGTCATTCAGCATATACTGAACAACAAAAGTTCCTGTGACATTGAATAAGATTGAATGCAAACTTATGTTTTTTACCAAATCTGAAACAAATAAAACAGATAAAAGACTCCTGTTAGTGTTCAAATGGTTTAATTTGCCATACTGACTTCAGAAAATGCGCGATTTCATGAAAAAAACATGAACATGCCAAAATGTCAATTTACAAATCAATAGCGTGTGTGTCCACCTCTGGTTGCGATGCAAGCAACACATCTTAGTCTCATGGAATGGGCCAGGCGTCGCACAAAGTCCTGTGGGATATCTGTCCATATCTTCTGGTGCGCGTTTCGAAGTTCCTGGAGTGTCTGTGGAATACGTGGTTGACGTCGAAGGCGCTGATCCATCTCATCCCACAGTTGCTCGATTGGTGAGAGATCAGGGGAGCGAGCCAGCCAGGGAATGACATGCACGTTGTTTTGTTGAAGAGAATCCTGAACAAGTCAAGCAATATGAGGCCGGGCGTTGTCATGTTGAAAGGTAATGCCTGTGCCATGAAGACGCAAAAACGGTAGAACAACAGGGCCAATGATCTCGTCGCGGTAGCGCTGTCCATTGAGATTTCCCTCTGCCACTTTCAAACGGGTCCTCTGTCTTGCTGTAATCCCACACCATACCATTACGCTGCCGCCCGCGAACCGATCTTCTTCCATGACACAATGATTGACGTAACGTTCACCTCGACGTCGGTACACTCGAATCCGTCCATCGCTGTGGCTGAGGTGAAAACGAGACTCGTCAGTAAATAGAACTTGTACCCACTACATGGCCGTCCAGGGTAGACGCTGTCTGCACCACTGTAGACGTGCTTGACGGTGGTTTCCTGTCAAAATGGGACGTCTGGCGGGTCTCCTGGCGACAATCCCTGCACATCTGAGGCTGCGACGTACGGTTTGTGAAGATATTCGTCGAAGGCCAGGGATGCTTCTTGCAGTCACTGTTGCAGGCTGGAGTCAATTTCGTAGGTGTGTTGTTCGAATCCAGTTGTCTTGTCGATTATTGGTTACGCGTGGCTTGCCACTCCGAGGATGGTCTCTGACTGCATTCGTCTGTTGCCAACGTTGCCATAAACACCAAATGGTGTTTCTGTGGACGTTAATTTGCCTTGCAAAATCACGATGACTCGATCCTGCTTCAAGCATACGAATGGCTCGCAGACGCTCATTTTCGGACAGGCGTGGCATTTCCTAATGTAGAATAATTGCGTAATTTTGTTGTTTTTCTGAGTGGTTGTTGTCAACACGATGCTAAACAATGAATATGGAATCCCGTTAACGCACATGTTCTATACCCATTCTTGGGTAGTGAAATGCATGGGGCTTGCATAAAAGTCAACTTTTGCATGGAATGCATGCTTTTCTGTAGCAGTTGCGTTATTATGACTTGATTCCATACATGTTCTGCAATATTGAAAACCAAACTTTACTTGTTTGAAAAATACACTAAAATATTGGTGTCACAGGAACTTTTGTTGTTGAGTTTATATATTCCTTCAAAACAAATTAGTCGAAAAACAAATCAGCATGGGTCTGCCCAAGTCGGGAGGATTGTTCAACCAGTCAACGTTTAAATATGCAGACAGTTCACTGAGATGTTGCAAGGCTCTCCTCAAAGGCGGTTCATAATAAGTTGTAGTTTCGATTAAAATCACACGACTATGATTCTTGCATCATTTCTTCGTTTTGATTTCACCAAAGCACAGAGGATTATATCAAAGCTATTACAAAATAGAAAAAAGTAGATGAGAAAATGTAACGTGAGAAATGGCATGAGTGACTAATAAGATCTGCGCTTCGGGATATATTACGCCTTCACTTTTCAGACACATCTACGTGATACCCATTGACGGAAACGTGGCGACACTTGGACTTTCACGCGCTTAGTTATTTTATGAAAATTGCGTGAGGGCGGGTGCTTCGTACCGTATATTACGTTTCATATTACGTCTACGAAATGATAGAAGATCCAGCATTCATTAACGTACGCACGTACACGCGCAACACGTTTTTATATAAGTGCAATAATCTTGAAGGCCACGCTAGGCCCCATTTCACTGGCCTTCCACAATGAGTGACAGTATAAAAATTAGTACATTCGATAGCTCAATAACCATATAGAAAACAATGTCCTAAAATGCTTAACTGAGCATTGTCGTACATAGCTTTATATCTACTTGTATAAGAAGTGATACCTGAATTCGCATGTTATCAGCATAAGCTAATTGTCAAGACCTACTACATACACAGTGATAAGCGCACGGTAACATAGAAATATACACAGATATACGTGAAATGTAGAGAAACTATAGGAACAAAGACATTTACAATCATCAATAAGTGTGAAGAATAAGATTGATATCAATCACCTTGAAATATACAATACATTTATATACAGTCGAACCTCATCATCTCGAACCACGTTATCTCGAACCTATTCTCCGTTCCCGACCGCCTTACCACATTGTGTTCATGCCTCGTTATCTCGAATGTCCGGATATCTCAAAGTTAGAACACGGTGCCACTAGGTTCAAAATAACTGAATTCGACTCTAAATAATTATTGACGAAGACGTTAACATGAGTCTAATTAGGTCTATTGTTTGTTGATAGTATAGCACGCTTAATTATGTTTTATTAATATGTCGCATTCCTAGGGGAGGGGATGGCGTGTTATTCTTTGGTTCAATTAAAATAGGAAAACTATAAACATATGTATATTGTGCCTTCTGAGAATGTGCTCATTCAACAGTTTTTAATCATACAAGACATCCTTCGATGTTTTCAAGTACTCATGCATGTACAACGATTGAATGGCCACAGACATCTTACCAGATTGTCCATCACCTTGAACTATTGCACTCAAGTGCATGCTAAACTGGTAACATTCCAACGCCAATCTGACCTCGCTTGATTACACCACCTGTTGACGTTTATAAGAACTAATCAGTGCTGGGAGCCATACAGAAGGCACTAACCGCAGCCTGTTGACAAGGAGGCACGGGAATATGCTACAAGTACTGACGTTTTTCAGTCCATTCTGCTCAGAGGGGTTTGCTCTAATTGTGAACCTGCATGTATCCATGGGTTTAATTCTTTGTAGCGGACCGGTAACCGCCATAAACAAGTAGTGAGAAAAAGTCCCAGACCTAACTGTAGGCGATACAGTGTTTAACTTGAAAGTAAATTCTGAACGATCAATATTGCTGCATAGGTCGGTTCGGGTGAATGTTGAAAACCGAAGTCGAGACGTCGTTCGTTCCACGGGCTGGCACTGTGCTGATTGCCTTCACCATGCATTGGCTGCATTCTGCTTTTCCCTCAGGACAAGCGAATTTTACTTTCACGTTTTAACGTTTTCTTCTTTATAAGTGAACTGTCGTTATGCAGAATTCGATTATCTCAAAATAGTATTTTTCTCAATATAAACCGAAAAACAATGAAACAGCGATAAATACCCCTGTCTTCATATCTGATATCATGCGTTTTAAGCTGACAAAAAAACTAATATTTTCGTATACTCGTATAGAAATGTTATTATACACGTCATGTATGGACAATTTAGGCACGTTCACTCAAATATACAAGCATATTTTATGCATATATTCCGAAAGTATTTACCACAAATTTACGAATGCCATTTGTATTGAAGGAAGAGTACTCGTTTAATAAATGAAATAGATTAATGCCAGTGCCCCAAATTGAAAAATCGATTAAAGTTTCTGAGTTATAAATTAATAGGATGGCATCATTTCAAGCTTGCAAAAAGTTTCGGGAAATGAATAACGGCAATTATGTTGTTTTGCTTGGCAAGGGCACTAATGAAAATACTTTAAAAAATGCAATGTTCCCTAATGGTATTTCTTCGCTTCATTCAATTCTGTTAAATTTGGTATGAAAACGTTCATGATCGGCGCTTTTTTTTGATTGGATAATTGTACGGGAAATAATATACACTACACGATCATCATGGGAAATAGTTGGGTATTACAAGTGCAAAAGTGTGTTGATAGTATCTATGTTGAAGTTGTTATCTGTAGAATACAATTGCTATATTATCAATTCTTGCAATTGAATTAGAACTGATAAACATTGAGATGCAGGTGTTCTCGTAGAGACACCATGTCATCAACAGTGACCACATCAATAGTACTTTGATCAAATTCTAAAAATGTTTCATCTTGCAAGAAAGGAAAAATGATCATAGCGTCTGTGTTAAAAACAACCATACATTTTATGAAAATGCAAATGCGTCATTAGGTTGTACATCAATATTGATTTTTAATATTGATTGTGAGAAAAATTAGTTTTGTCGCCTTTGAAGTACTTAAGCTTCATTAAATGTTGAGAGTCTTTTGATCGAAATTTACACATGTAAGTGAGTGCAAACCAGATCTTTCGGAGCGTCTGTAATACAAATCGTGATGTTTTAAAATATATTAAGACAGCAAAGATTATATCTGTAAGATATACATCAAAATCAAAAGCGTTCCTTATTTTCTGCTGACACCCTTAAGCTCTAAAATGGAATGTGCAACTCCATTCAAATCTAATCAAATAGGCGCCGTGGTGATTAGCTTAAATCTATATCCCACGATGACTAATTTGAGAACCTAGTCGTAATATTCATTAAAAGGCAATCGAATGTGACTATTCCTGAACGATAAATTGAGTCATCTCTCGCAATGACAGCGAACGACCACTTAAGAATTTATAACCAGGACACAAGGTATTTAGCTGCATGGTTACCAGGTAATGGCGTTACAGGAAACGCGGGTTA